TATATATATATATATATATATATATATATATATACATATCTACTATATACTTATTTAATATTATTGTAATTTATTATTATCTTATATTTTAATAATTATTATTTATATTTTACGAAAACATAATTTCTACTTATTTTCCACTAGAGAAATAATTTGTTCCAAAATCAAACAACAACGTTTCATATTTCGGCATATAAGAAAATTGTTTTCGTTGCATAATAACTCGATCTCGACGAATCGATCAACATTTAAGTAGTAGTTCGATTTGAAATTTTCGAGAAAATCGACGCGAGAAAATTGAAGGAGAACATTATCAAGTTTGTCCAAGTTGAATTTCTCGTGGAAATTAATAATGATTCGTGTGTACCTGAAGTATGGTGGGTATATTACTTTCATGGGGCATACCATCTTGTTTGGATGTTAATACCTTGTTAAAAGTTCTAATCACCGAGATCATATTCGTAAGTCTCTCCTCCCCTTTCCACCCCTCACTTCTTCTCTCTCTCTCTCTCTCTCTTTCTTTCTCTCTCTCTCTTTTTTTCTCATACGCGTCGACAAATATTTGGCCACGTTCGAAATATCGCTTTGATGTTGTAAACGTTAGCATTGGCAAACTGCCCGAAAATATGTCGAAGGTGTATAGGAGCATGAACTGTTATGAGAACACACCCTATATGCTAGGTGCACATAGTTTTATTGCTTAGATCGGGAAAATTAGATGCGCTACTTTCAACGTCAAACTTTGCCGTATTCATTTTTTTTTGTTTTTTTTCTAATAACTCGACTCGTGAAATTTCCAAGCCAAAATTAACATATATGTATGATGTTTGTGTATGTGACTGTATGTGTATATAAATTATGTATACACGTATGTAGATCAACGAAGTATTCTGCAAAGTTTCTCTTTCCTCTAAGTACACATATATACATGCATAAATATACAATAATTAATTGTAATCATTTATTAACCAAAAAATAAATATACTGTATTAAATAAGCATAAAAAAAAAAAAAAAAAAAAAAAAATAAAAAAATAAAACAGAAAGATTGATGGAAAAATCGTAAAGGAAGACAAACGTTTGACCGATTTTCTCAGTCGATTTGTCAATGATTAGCATTTGAATAGATTATATGAATCGTTGACTACAAATACATACATACACTCACACGTATACATTTATATATATATATATATATATATACACAACGTTACATAATAAGAAAGATCTTGGAATTAGTAAAATTTCTGCTTGAACTAGCAATGTTTTGTCCTGAGTCTTTTCTCAGGATGACACGTCGACGATTAGGCAAGCAGACTGGTAGAAACGGTTTCGTTATATTCTCAAGCACGTGATCGAAATTCGATCATCTGCCAATTCGTAAGAGAATCGGTAAAACGATTATTGAATCGTACCAGAACTTCTCCTGGATATTGCGGTTAGTTTGAAAGTTCGCTACATTTCCTATTGCTTTCGAATAGAAACTACAAAAGCGAATATGTATAAATGTATTTGTACGTATGTATCTATATAAGTATATACGTGGATATAAAGTTTGGATTCTCGATAAAAAAAAAAGGAATTTTTATTATTAAGAAAAAATAGAAAAGTTTATTCAAAAAAAAAAATAAATAAATAAAAAATTGTTTCCATGTTTAAGTTGATAAACTCGTCAATTCATCTACGTATATATTGTATTTGTATTATTATATAATATTGTATGTGTATATATGCTGGTAATTAGGACAATTGTTTTTTGGTTATCAATTATTTATTTTTATATACAAATATATTTTTTAAATTATATTTATATTATATACTATTAGTACAATCAAAAGATTCAAAATGATAATTTTATCTATACAAATACGATACTTGTAATTTTTGTTATACACGTTTTATCCTTTCTGGGTGGGATTTGGGAATTGCTGCAATGAACTTTCGATTTCCTTACGCTAATTAATAATAATAATAATAATAATGTTTTATCCTTTGTATTAATTCTGAAGCTGTTGACTTAGAATGGTTATTATTAAATAAATAAATAAATAAAAAATGTATATATATATTACATTATATAAAATTTATGTTTTGTTTAATATATGAAATTTATCGCGCGTGTTGAATTAAATATGCATATAAATAATAATAAAATTGAGAGACGGTAAAAAAGAAAAAAATTGTAAAATAACATGATTCTTGACAGGAACTCAGAAGACAATGTCAAGATTTCGCAACGGCTTTGCTGGACCATACGAGAAGTTCCTACGAATTGGAAGTACTTCTGAATCATGATCCAAAAGGACCAGCGTTCGAGCACGGCGAAAGAATGCATTTGAATCGTTTGAAATTGGCCATAAAACTTCGACAAAAGAAGGTAATTCTTTTTAATTCTCCCCTTTCTCTTTTTTAATTGACTCATTATTTCTCCTAACTCTCTCCACCCCCCAAACCTCCCCACCCACTCACCCCGACCCCACTTTCTTTCTTTTTCTTTTGTGTCGATTCATTAAATACCTGTGATCGATGAAGAGAGAGAGAGAGAAAAAGAAAGAGAAAGAGAAAGAAAAAAAAATTATCCCAGGTAGAATAACAAACAAGGTATTATTAATTATGCTAATTGGTGCTTCGATGTTACGTGTTTCAAAAAAAAAAAAAAAAAAACAAAGAAAGAGAAAGAGAAAGAAAACACTGTTATACATACCCCTTCGAACAATTTGCCCGTTTTGCTTCGGAACCTTTCCAGTTCGTGGCGCATCCAAACGTTCAACAACTACTCGCATCGATTTGGTACGAGGGCCTTCCCGGTTTTCGTAGGAAAAACATGCTTCTTCAAGCTATGGAAATCGTCAGGATCGGCTTACTCTTTCCTCTATTCAGCGTGGCATACATCATAGCACCTCACAGCACCATTGGTCAAACTATGAGGAAACCATTCATCAAGTTCATCTGTCACTCGGCATCATACTTCACTTTTCTATGTACGTATTATAAACGTTCAAAACGTTTTCTCTGTTTTTTTTTCTTTTCTTTTTTTTTTTTTCTTATCTTTTTATATCCGTTATCCTTTCAACAGAAGAAGTGTGGACTTTTTTAAAGCTCACACTTCTTTACGTATATATATATATATATAATAATATAGTATAAACTCTATCTTATTATCATAAAATACACGTCGTTTGGAAGAAAAGAATTTGTTTATACAGTCAGTCCTCTTCTTCCAACCCTACACGTGATGAAATTTAATAATGTTTAGTTTTTACATTGTTTTTTATTTTGTTTAATATTCTTCGTGATTTATCGTATCTTTCAAACAATAATACCGATCTCGATGAAAGATAGATATTTCATCATTTTTTTTTACTATCTTATTTTTTTCTTCCTTTTTTTTTTTTAATGTAAACTTTCTGTTCTCTCTCTCTCTTTCTCTGTCTGTCACTCTGTCCCTCTCTCTCTCTCTTTCTCTTTTTTTCTCATCGAATTTTCAAAATGTTTTTATTACAACTTGCTAATAATACTTACGTTTCTTTTTGTTGTGAGAGAGTTATCGAATTAACTATTCGTTCCTATTATCGTTTACGTATTCGAGCTTTGTAATTCGTTTTGACGATAGAACGAAGAAGGAAGAGAGAAAGAGAGAAAAAGAGATAGAGAGAAGGAGAGAGAGAGAGAGAGACAGACAGACAGAACAAAAAAAAGGTCGAAAATGTTTGATCTAACGACGTGCTTGAAAACTAAAATACGACTTTTGTTAAGAAAATGAACTCGGAACTCACCACGATACGTGGATCCGAATTGTTGTTAACTTTTCAACGAATTTTCCTTCGACATAAGTTCCATTTTGTAAACAGGAAACTCTGTTTATTTCTTTGTTCGCAGTTATGTTAATTCTAGCCAGTCAAAGGATAGAAAGTGTGATCGGTAATTGGATGGGACATAGTGTTATTGATAATGATACGGCACCAACTAAAAGAGGTGCTGCACCGAGCATCGTTGAGTGGTAAAAATTTTCTTTCTTCGATTTTCTATTTTCTTTCTTTCTCTTTCTCTTTTTTTTTTTCTTTGGTCGATCAAAAGTAAATTTAAGTTTAAAATAAACGTTTTATTCGAATTTTTGTCCTTTGGTTATTTTCGTTAATAATATTCGATTAATTTCTTGATATAAAATGGATGAATATTATTTTTAATATAATTTGTTTTGGTTTCTTTTTTTTTTTTTTTCTTATTAAATTAAATAAAGGACAAAATAAATCTACGAAAAAAATTTAATTTTAACGATCACGCGTGAAAAGAAAAAAAATGTAACGACAAAATTTGCTTCTTTTTTTTTGTTTTTTTTTTTTTTAAATATTAATCTTAATAATATCATTTGGTATGATGAACTGTAAAGCAAACGAAACTACGGACAAGCTTACATTTTGCCAATGAAAAGGTTAATATTTATACAATTATTTTTTTTCTTTTTTTAATTCCAATTAAAATTCCATTACATACAAAAATGTATTTAAACACGTTCGTTCAAATTGAGAACTTGCTTAGTGTATAATATGCTTTGTATTATATGTCATTGAAACGTAAAATAATTTTTCAATGTGATAACAATATTATAATAATGATATTATAACAAATAAACCCTACAATTATCCTACACCTGATATTCTGCATTCGTCTCATTCTCTCGCAACTTAGTTTTTCGAAAATTTCACTTCTAACACGTGTGATCTCTGCCCACATGATATTTTCTTTTCATTTTCAAGATAAATTTAAATTACGTAAAATCATTATCATCGTTCGATTGATTTTAGGTTCATATTAGCATGGGTCTCCGGATTAATTTGGTCAGAGGTTAAACAACTTTGGGACGTCGGTTTGAAGGAATACGCTAACGATATGTGGAACGTGATCGATTTTGTGACGAACTCTTTGTATGTTGCCACGGTGGCACTTAGAGTCGTCGCGTATTACAGGGTACAAAAAGAAAATGAAGCCCAGGAACCAGGTTTTCAAGTAGAATTACAACGAGAACAGTGGGACACCTGGGATCCAATGCTAATATCTGAAGGCTTATTTTCAGCCGCCAACATTTTTAGGTAATTTATTATTGTACAAGTAATGATTTAATATTTAACGAGTTATCATATTATACCACATATTTGTGGTGATATAGATGTTGATTGATAAAAAACAATATGTTTAATGCATTTGTATTTATTTATTTTTCCTTGCAGTTCTTTAAAACTCGTCTACATATTTTCTGTAAATCCCCATCTCGGTCCACTTCAAGTTTCTTTATCAAGAATGGTCATGGATATCATGAAATTCTTCTTTCTCTACGTCTTAGTATTGTTTGCTTTTTCTTGCGGTGAGTATGAAACATATGCCAATTCTTTTCAAGAAACGTCGAAAGATATCGGTTATAATATATGTAGATACATTACTTACTTTGTACACTCACACCCACACACACACGCATCAATGTATATCGCGTTGTATTGGGAACTGACCACTTTAATCGCAAAGTTTGGTGACCGAAAAAGAAATCAATATGCATTCCATAACAATCAAAGATTTCAATATCTCAATTAAAGATAACGTCAATTCATTCAAATAAATATAATTACCGATTGTAACCAAATGAATATAATAATTCTTTTCTTGAGCACAATAATCAACTATGTTTTTAAAGACTCCTGGATCCTCAGGTCAGTTCCCAATTATACTCATACATTTTTTGTTCAAAACTGTCTCTTTCTATTCGTTTTATTCGAATAGGTTTGAATCAACTTTTATGGTATTATGCCGATATGGAAAAAAAAAGATGTCCATCAGCGATGCCGCATTCATTAAACGCAAACGTAACCACAGATTCAAACGCTTGTGTAGTTTGGCGACGATTCGCCAAGTACGTATTAAACAATATTCATTTAAATGAAAGATTTTAAGTACTATTTCATTAATTAAGAACTTGGAAAATGCTGGCAGTTTATTCGAGACCACTCAAACGCTATTCTGGGCTGTTTTCGGATTGGTAGATCTCGAAAGTTTCGAATTGGATGGTATTAAAGTGTTTACGAGATTCTGGGGTATGTTAATGTTCGGCACATATTCGGTAATCAATATCGTCGTACTTCTCAATCTTCTCATCGCCATGATGAATCATTCCTATCAGTTAATATCCGTAAGTATGATCAACATTTTCATATTGAAATATTAATCGAGTTTAATCAATAAAGTGAGTTTAAGACAATACGTTTAACGATCGATCGATGATTTGACGAATGAACATGAAAAATCATATCAGGAACGCGCTGACGTAGAATGGAAGTTCGCCAGGAGCAAACTTTGGATCAGTTATTTTGAAGAAGGTGGAACAGTACCACCGCCATTCAATATCATTCCTACACCAAAGAGCGCTTGGTACGTTGGCCTGTGGATTTATCGGAAACTCTGCGGTCATAGTAGAGCCGCCAAAAAGGAACACATGCGAACTATCAGGGTAAAAATTTGTACTATATACGATATCATCGTAGGATCTCTTCAAAGGGAATCGTCGAGTGATGTTATCGAGGTAACAAAACAATGATCGGGGAACCGATTCCTCATTCGACGTGAAACACTTTTATTTCAGAAAAAAGCGAAGCAAGCTTCTCAACGTGATTTTCGTTATCAAAGTATTATGAGAAATTTGGTTAGACGATACGTAACCGTTGAACAAAGAAAAGCTGAAAACGAAGGTGTAACCGAGGACGACGTTAACGAGATCAAACAGGACATAAGTGCGTTTCGTTGTGAGATTATTGAAATTCTGAAAAATTCTGGCATGAACACATCGACTGCTAGTGGTACTGGAACTGGTGAGACATTTTTAGGGAAGATGGTTAATTGCTTGTATTTGTTTTTTTTTTTTGTTTTCCTTGATTTATATTCCACCATCCAATGTTACATTTGTTAGTGTTGTATTTGTTGATTTGAGTGTTTTCGTTGTGTTTCACGATTAGTTAGTTCCTTTTTTGAGCACGTTCCACTTTTTCTTTTCTGTTTGCCCCGATACAGACGGTAGCCTTAAAGAGCTGTCCATAGGTGCGGGAGGTAAGAAGAATCGACAGAAGGAACGACGCTTGATGAAAGGATTTAATATAGCCCCTCAACCCGGTAGTAGTTCTACTTTGTTAGAACCGGTCGCGGAATTGATCGCTTCTTGGAAAGAACAACAACAGGAAAATTCTCATCACGAGATTTACGGTTCTACTAGAAGCGAGATATTTGGTTTAGGTACTATGCCGAAAAAAAGTTTGCATCATAGTAATGCGTGTAGACAAAGTCGTGGTGTTAGAAGTAGCTCGAAGAAAAAACGTTGGGATACTTTGATCGAAGCTGCGAAAGCTCACAAAGTTTCGAAGAAATTTATCGGTAAGATATTTTTATCATTCACCAACGTAATATAGATTATGATATATTTCATCACGTTCGAATGAAAGGTCAAACGTCGAGAGACTATTTGTTCATTAGGTAGATCTCGTTCAGAGGATTCCGTTTATTCACCCGCATCAGAAGATGGTGGCTCAAGATCGGAAGGTTCTACAGATTCAAAGTCATCTTTGGAAATTCAACGAAGTCAGGAGGTTCATAGACACCACCATGCTCATCATAGTCATCATTCCCATCATCCGACGGAAAGTCATCATGGTTTTAGTCGTATCGCTATAGTTTCTGCTTTAACTAAAAAACGAAAAAAGTTCTCAGCATCGAGAGTATCGACGCCAACTATGACGAGCACCAATTCAAATACGATGGAAAGTACAACTCAACCCATCACTTCGATTCTTATGTCAAAAGTATCGAAGAAACAATTGCAACGAGCTAGCAGCGTGCCTACCAGAGGTCCGGAACTTGGTTCTCAAGCGATACCACCGAGACGACACGAAGTCACACAGAGTCAACAACCAAGCTTGGATACCGCTGAAATTACGAGTGTTACCGAACAACAAAGTTAGTTCTTCTTTATGTATGTTATTTTCAACTATTCGAATAATCGCTCGTTTCTTCATAAGTAAGTAAATTTCTTACTAGCTAATTCGTACAAAAAGAAAAAAACAAAAAACAATTACGCCAGTAATAATAAAAATGTCATCAAATAATACTTGACTTTATGGAAAAAGTAGATAACGATTTTTTGCAAGAAATATTTCAATACTATACTGATACGCATGATACGAACCTTATATGAGTAGGTTCTTCATAAGTAATCTCTACATGTCGTTAAAAGCAAAAGGGTTTAGGAATATTCATATATTTGGATATATAATTTATAAATCAGTATATATATATGAACAAATATTTCATACAATTCGAAATACAACTTTTTTCTTAACCGTAAAAACTTTAATTATTTATTTTTTCTTTTTTAAATTTAAATGTAAAAATAAGCAATCATGACGAGTGATTTTTCGGATATTATAATATAACAAAGACACAAATTGATTTCGCAAAAAAGATAAATATGATTTGTTAGGGGTGGTTAGCGCTGTACCATTGACACCATCGACCACGGAAGAGAGCATGATAGCAAGCGGAGCGATTTCAATGACGGTAAAGACAAATGGTTCGGCTACGCAACTTCAACGACTTCCTGGCATCGAACCGATCTCCGGACATGACGTGTCAGCTGGTTGGCTCTGAGTACGGCCCCGTCATCGAACCGATCGATGACGAGCCTCGGTGATTAGAAAACAATCAACGCTAGAATCCAATGCGGAATTTAACATGTTCGAATACGACGAAAATTCGAACGACGAATGATAATCGATTATAATTTTGCGCCGATTTATTTTGATGTTCGATAAAAATATCTAATAATATCGCAAAAAAATAAAAATAAAAATAAGAAAAGAAAAGAAAAAAAAATAGACAAAGAAAAGAAATCAAAGAAGAACTAGAAAGAGATAAAATAAAAAAAAAAATAAAAAGAGAAAAGGAATAAAAAAAAATTCAACAACAACAGCAGTAACAACAAATCGACTCACGTCGATGCTCTATCGGCAGACGCACACACACACAATGATGCCTTTTTTATTAATGACGACGATGCGCCTTTGCCAATTATTATTAATTGTGTCGTCGGTGAACCGCGTAAAAAAAATTCGCACGAAACAAACGAACAAACGTATAAATAAATAAATAAATAAATAAAAAGAATATAAAAAGAGAAAAAAGGTAAAAAAAAAAAAAAGAGAAAAAAAAAAGATAGAAATGATTGTCAAATAGAAACAAAAGAAACCAAATTGATAAGAAGATGTGTATGTCGTCGACCCTTTCGGAAATAAAAAAAATCCCTCTTCCCCTTCGAACGAAAGTCAAACTTTCGTTGAAAAAAAAAAACCCCTGACGAACTTACGATATACTCGTTAATCGATTTCTTGTACCAATGACCACTCGCGAATTTCATTCATCTGTGAGAATATTCTCACAGTGTTCGCGTGGAAATAGTGTGATAGTGAATTGTTGATAGTGTTGTTATAAATAAATTACTGTTACCCCGTGCCTAACTCTGCATCGACCAAAAATCATAATTTTTTTGTTTTGTTTTCTCTCTCTCTCTCTCTCTCTCTCTCTCTCTCTCTCTTTTATTTTTATTTAAATTTTATCATACATAGGTATTAGTTTATCATAATTTTTATTCTCTTTTAATCAAATTATTTTTCTCAAGGATTCCGTATTAGAGAGAAAGTTTTTTTTAAATATCTTAGGCCAGTGATAATGAATTTTTTTTTGTTTATTCTTTTGATGATCGATAAGAATTATATTTAAACATTGTTTATTTATTAAACGTTAATCGAGTATTTGTAATGAATGATTTTAAAGGTAAAATCAAGTTCTTTAGTTTAATTTGTTTTTTTTTTTATATAATTAATCTATAATAACAACAAAATAACAAATCAAAATGAAATAGGATAATGTTTATTTGCAATTTATTTGATTAAATAAATCAATTAATCATGAATTTTCTCGCGACAGTTAGTTTAGTATTACAAATAGAAAGAAAACATTGTATTAATACAGGGGTCGGCAACCTGTGCGGCTCGCGAGCCACATGCGGCTCTTTGAATGTAAAACTGCGACTCTTCTGAATAATCGATTCAGAATCGATTAATGAGGATTAGGCACTGATGAATAAATACATTAGTTTTTTTTTTTTTTTTTTTCTAATCAAAAAACTTTATTTATGCGAGTACAATTTATATGTTAGCAAGAAAAAATTTGATGGCTCTTGAAAACTTTGAAATTGAATTAAATTGTAATTTTTGGCTCTTCCGATTCAAAAGGTTGCCGGGCCCCTGTACTAATACATTAGATAATATCCAAATCTTTTTTTTTTGTTTATTTAATATTCGCAAATATCGATTTAAATGAAAAATTTGATGAAGAAAAAAAAAACAATCGAGTTTACCATTACTGTTATTACATATTTTATACAAAAAAAAATATCTCAAATCACTTAGCTGATAAAAAAAAACAAAAAATAAGATGATCATCGGTATCCTTATAGAAAACCGTCCGTATTATCGAAGAATTGTTTTTCACGAGTTGTCATAGGTACAAATATATTACAAAAATCATTGGATACGAATTCGAAAAAAAAAAAAAGAAAGATCGATTTTTGTCACAAATCGCTGCTCACTCTTTCAGATGAGTGCGAAGTTAAAAGTGAAACTTTACTATTAAAACAACTATTACTACTATTACAACTACTACTATTACTATTATTACTATTACTACTACTACTACTACTACTACTACTATTAATTATTACTATTATTACTACTACTACTACTGCCAGAATGGAAGTGGCACGTGGGTCGGCGCGAATTAGTCTAGTCACAACTCTAGTCAGAAATGAGAATCGTATAAATATGTTTTAATTAACTTGCTAATATAGTATTACATTAATCATAGTCAAAAACGTCACGAAGAAGAATAAAAAGAAGAAGAAAAATAAAAAGAAGAAGAAGAAGAAGAACAGTTATTAATTTAAATAAAAATGTTATATCATCTTTCAGTCTCTCAGACAATTTTATATCTCTCGATCTTCCATCTTTTTTCGATGCGCGCGTCTATAATCGTTTTAAGATTTCATTCAATAACGAGATGCAAAACAAAACAAAAAAAGAAATAAAACCAAAATTATATATAAAGAAAAAAAGAACAAGAATAAAAAAGAGAGAGAGAGAGAGAGAGAAAAGTTGGTGAAAAAATATATCGAAAAAAGAATAATGTGTATTTCGTTTTAATATCATATTTTAAACGTTAAACGAGAAAATACTTTTTAAAATGATTTGAAAGAAAAGAAGAAGAAGAAGAAGAAGATGATGATGATGATGATGATGATGATAAAAAGAAAAAAAGAAACAGAAATGAAATTGTAATTAACGAGTTAAAACTCTTAAAACAACTATTATTATATTTACGATCTAGTCTATAATTGTATTCGGATGTTGTTATTATCATCCAAAAAAAAAAAAAAAACAAAAACGAACGAAAAGTTCATACGGTAACAGACTTTTTGATATTTCAAGAAAATACAGAAATTCCAATGATGAATTTCTTTTCTAATATATATATATATATATATATATATATATATATATTATATACGTATCATTCATTAAAAAATATTTCAATCGCGTTGAAAACTTATAATCCAATCAAAATCCATACCTTTAACAAACCTCCCTCGTAAACTCCCTTCCTCCCTGCCTTCAACCCTTGTTCCCACTCACCCACTTAAGATTGTTATTTAAGATCGTGTAGTAGGTGCAAAAAGGTGTCTGTAACGTGTGTGCAATTTAGTAACAATTGTAGCTTGTAATAGTCAATTTTTCATTTTTAACCCATTAAGTATAAATAAGGAAGAAAACGATTTCTAATCATACCGATCTCTCGTATTTTTAAGAGAATTTTTTGCAAATATCATCGAGTTTTTTGTTTCTGTTTTTTTTTTTTTTAATGTGTATGTGTGTGTGTATATATATACTTACGTATATATAAATTACATGTCTAGATTCTAAAAAAAATCGTTCGATCGAATGTACATTTTTTGATATTTGACATCATTACAAAATACTAAACGCATGTACGCGCGTCTTAATTATATCAATAAATAAAATAATAATATTAATAATAATAATAATAATAATAATAATAATAATAATAATGTTCGTGACTCGTAAAAAGATAATTGTTATTAATTAAATAACTTAAATTACATGATATTTTTGTGAAACACACGAACAACAAAGATACAGGCGTGTAATTTATATATAAACGACAAATACTCAAGATTTGATTTTTTTTTTTTTTTTTGTTTAAATCTCAATTTATTTTCATTAGTAGAGAAAAAAAATGTAAATTATTTTCTTATTAATTTGATAATAACATATTCTCCTAATTTTTGTATTTCATAATAGTAAAATAATCTATCATCAATTATACTTTCTTATTTTTATTACATACAAATTCGAATAAATAAAAGTAATATTTTTCAATTCAACTCCATATTGCATGATGATAATTTTACGTTTTAATTTTTTTTTTTTTATCCTTTAATAATTAACAAAGAAAAATAATAAAATATATATATTTTTAAGTTTACCGTCCGTAGAGAAAGTTGTAGATGTCGGTAAATTATCATACAATGGATTATAATAAATGATCTGAAACGTTGAACAAAAATCTGGAGATTATGATTAGGATTAAGAATTAATTTTTCCTAATTATTATTGTACAAAAATTCTGTCGAAATTTATTGTTTTATCGAAATATGGGGGAAAAAAAAAAAAAAGAAAATATGTGAAGTTACGACCAAAGAAGAGTAGTAGCTCGTTGTAGAATAGAAAGACTAGTAGTGGCCTAAAATGAAAATTCTCTTACCATACCATAGATATTACGTGTATTTAAGTAATTATGATAAGTATTAATTATTTAATTATTAATCAGAACTGTCAGGACCACAAAAGGAGAGATCGATTCTAACAAAAAAAAACAAAAAGACGAAAACTTAATAAAACATTAACGTTAAAAGCATAATCTCGTACTTATTTGATAAATTTTCCTCTCATCTTTATTTAAATTTCATCTTTATCTCCTTTCTGGTCTGAACAGATTTGAAAATAGAATTACATCATCTAAATGTACTATATATATATATATATGAGATTAATATCATAAATGTGAAACGTAGATATCGACATGGCAAAAATGAACAAAACAAACGAAACAAAAAAAAGTACAGAATTATAATGAACGTTGTTAATTCGAGAGAAGGGCTTTATATTTAAAGCAAGAAAAATTTATGCAAACGCACAGTGTCCCATGCAAATCCATGTGCTAACAGTCGAATAATATGCAATTAAACCAAAGGATTATGAAATGGAACCAACGTTTTATCATTAGGTTTACTTAGAAAAAAAATATGGGAGAGATATATACAAGAACATAATAATAATAATAATAATAATAATAATAATAATAATAATAATTAACGATAATGATAATGATAATGATAATAATTCACAAAAATCATTTTCAGTACTAGTCAAAACGAAATGCATAGTCCGATTTTCTAACGATTATTATTATCGATAGGATGATAAGTTGATGGGGCGTCTTTTATATATAGAAAGGGAGTTTATTGAAAATTTTACATTTTATAGGATGTACATATTAATCTTGGAAGTATCACCCCCCCAATCCACATTCAATACTCCCACAACCCCTCTTCACCTTATTCATGATAAAAGTAATTATATAGAAACAATGATCGAATAAGCGTAAGACTTATCCGCTTTGTGCATTTTTTTTTTAAACATAATTCGTATTATTTAATATTGCTTTTAAAAACACATTATGCAGTACTCTCTCATCGTATGAAAATATTATCGATGACAAAAAAAAAAAAAGAAAACAAATCTGTTAAAAGGCGTCTCATCGAACCTACGAAAGCAAATAAAAGAATTTTAGAAGTTATTACCACTCGTAAAAGCATTTTTAAATATTCATATTCTGTTTTTTTTTTTTTTGTTATTCCGTTTGTTTGATAATTTAATAATCATTGCCAATTCCATAGGTAACGATGTTTATGTATTTTTATGTGATGAATGTCAAAAAAGAAAAAAAAAAAAGAAAAAACACGTCATGTTTAATACAATAGGAACATTTTCAAATGAAAAATTCATTTACAAGTACTAGAAAAATTTGTCGTACGAAGTAATTCAATCATCTTCTAACGTGTTGTTTCAATTCATTCTGTTTGATATTTGATTATTAATAAAAAAAAAAAAAAATTAAAAAGATACTAATAATATCTGATGGACAATATGAATTACAGAAATGTATATTGTTGGATTATATTATATAATATTAATATATATCATTTCCGAACGTACTTTGATGGAAAAAGTAAAAAAAGGATCGATCAACCAGTACGAATATGACCACTAATAAAATATCGTTTATTCTGATACATCAGAGTGTTGTATACCTGTCATGTTGTTAACAAAAAAAACAAAAAAAAGAAAAGAACTGAAAAGAGAAAAGAAAAGAAATACACACGACGATCTTTTTTATTTCACATCGTAGATTTCTTACATTTATAAAAATATTTTATTTCAGACGACTTAGAAATTGTATCATTTCTTCGCTTAATAATGTTTTATTTTAAATTCATCTTTTTTTATTTAATTGCATGGTGCCAATTGACATCTAGATCGTTTTTGCAATTTTTTCGGACATGCTCGACCACCATTTTCAGCTTCGCGCTATTAAAAAATATAAACAACAAATATAAAGCAATGATTTTTTTTTTCTTTATTAATTGTATCGATAATTATGACAGTGAACTAAGTTAAAAAATTTGAAAAAAAAAATTATATTATATTTCTATATATTATAAATTAAATAATACGAAAAATTTGCAAAAATTTTTTGGAATTAGTATACTGTCATAATATCAACACAAATAATCTATTACTATCATATTATTTAAATACTATACCTTGATAGTACGATAACTAACAACTCGTCCTGTACCACAAGTGACACTGCACGGTGACCAAGGAGACCATTCAGAAAGCTCACAATCGACAGGTGTCAAATTCGATAAATTGGCACGTGGTTGAGTAATTGTTGCTGTTTGCTTTGGATTTTCTCCAGATAGAACAGCTCGAACCTAAATATATAATCAAGCTCGTTTGATATTATATTCAAACATTTGAAAAGAAAATTGGAATTCTTTTTTTTTTTTTGATTATCGTTTACTTACGACATCACAAGTTTGAGTACACTCTTCAAATGTGAGGAAATTATTCCTGTTACCTCGACAACCGCCATAACCGAATGGAACGCACATTAATTTACGTGGCTCGAATGCCCACCTTTTGAAATATCCTCTACAAGGACCGATATCAGCATTCTCCATACAGACCACTTTGAATTACCATACAATTATGATTAAATATTATTAACGTTCTTCCGTTTTACTTGATAATTTTCTTATTACCTTTCGCTGTTGCCATATCAAAGGTGCAATCAGCTTGAATAAGACAATGTCGTTGTTGTAACAATTCGACACGCGATGAACAGTGTTCTTGCATCGTTGGATCTACTAATAACAATCTCGTTCTTAATTTAACACCTTTTCCACAGGATGCACTACAAGGTGACCAATCTGACCATTCAGTAACCTACACATGTTCCTATTTATAACTTACATTAAGAAATTATAAAGAAATTCCAATGAAAGAAAAAATACGTACTTTACAATCGGGATCGATTATTTCCGTAGTTAGACAAGGTGGTCCCATACATTTATCTTTTTCTACCAGAGAAACGAGAGGACAAAATTTACGGCCCATATGATCCTTGAACTTTCTGGTTTTCATTTTAATACCAATACCACACGTAGAAGAACATTCTGACCATTCGCTCCAATCAGTGGTCTCGCACACAGCATTATTATTTGGTACTAACAAAGTATAATTATCATCTTCCTCTTCACCTCTAACAAAATTCAAAAGACATGAAGTAATGATTCTTTTTGTGATCGTCAGATTAATCTTACTTATGTTGCCAAACGAGATTCTTCAAAATAAATAAAAAATAAAAAGTTTAAACATCAACTCACGGACACTCGGCTAAATTAGCCACACACATCTCCTTAGAAACGAGTTGTCTGTTACAGTTGAACATCTTTGCCTTTTCTGGCATCCTGTATTCCCTCGTACGCATTCTTAATCCTTTACCACAGCTTACGGAACACGGCGACCATGACGAGTAATCCGTCGTTTGACACTCGGCTTTATAATATAAACAATATAGACATAAATATTTTATTATTTATTTAAATGATTTTCATTAGAAGTAAAATGTTAGATAAGTACGTTTGGACGTGTCCTCGTTATTTTCAGCAACCTCTAATTCTTGTACTTGTCGTTGAAGTATTTCTTCGTCGCAACCACGTTGAATGATTTTATCTCTGTCGAGATACAATCTTGCTAATGGAAGCATGGGTCTACCCGTTGGATCGTAGAACGGTGATCTAGGGTCTTCCGGATAGGAGGTCGTAATTGGCTTCATTTTTTCTCTCGGCTTTGTCTCGGAATTTGGAGACATGTAAGAAATACCATTATCCGTGCCAGCATCCCAAGGATAAAGATCAACTATCATACTTTTTGTCCAAGTGCAATCCTTCTGACAAAGATTTAATTTACTTACACCAACTACCCAATCGGGTGAGGGCCCGAACATTGAAGCTATTGAAAGAAGAGGATGTTTTCTGTCTACCCTGTTTGATTATATAATAAATATATCAATAAATTACAATTAATCTTATTGAAAGATAATCAAGGATTAATCATAATAATCAAAACATGCCTAAAACTCGTACTGGTATTGGTGTTTACATTGGGATACCAAAGACCAGCAGCCTTTATAAGTGTTCTCAATTTAGTAGCTTGACTTCTTAGTTCATTTTCTACACCTGATGCTGAACCCCATTCGGCTAGTTGCCTAAAACCATCTGTAGCTATATGATCTCTACCCCAAAATGAAAACTCTGTCTCATGAGATGCACCGATCAAATCACTGAAGTGCGTTAACCATGCAGATGATGGAAAATCTTTAGGATGTGTTTGGTTCGACCAAATGCCTTCGAAGGTAAGCTTTATAAATATTATTATTAATAAATTATTTATATACTTTTAGGTATTAGATTAAATATGTGAATGAAATAAATAAAACGTTCAGTATATATTTATATTTTCATGAAATGTTGCTTACCGAATATTTAGCTTCGTCGCAAGCACAGCATTTATTATCGCTTAATTGTTCAACTTCTTTAGGAGTCATTTCGCAGAAGGTCTTTGTCAGACCTTCATCCTCGGCGTACCACCTGACATTATTTTCCAAGATCATAGCAGTAAAGATGACACAGCCTGATCCAGTCGGTGGTGCTTTCCACATAACTTGGATCTATTCCAAGGGCAAAAAGTTTAACTGTCTTACTAAAGAAGGATCGTTTGGATAAAAGCCAAGTTTTAAAAGACTCATCTTTCTAATTTTCTCCAACTTATAAAGGGACAAATAAATAAGTTTTATAAGAAAAATCCGGAAGAGATTAAATTTTAATTACCTCAGATTTCGGATAATCCGTAGCTTCCGAGATGGTGTTGATGCAATCCTCATTAAAAGTTGTCAGAGCGTCGGAAAATAATTGAAAGTAACCTACGCGAACTGTTGGATTGTTTGGGGCGTACTGCGAATGCACGGAAAGTGTAAAACGTGTGAATTGTTGAAGACGTTCGTGCGTTCTTGATCCTAAAATTGAAAATAAATATTTACACGTTTGACAATGAGTATGAGAAAATTTGTGTTATTTTAAGAAAAACAAAAAAAAAAATCAAATATTATTCTATACCTCGGAGACTAATGGTGTACACTGCATCAGGGATGTACTTATCGGAAGTACCACTGATAAGTATTCTATATCCACCATCTCCGGGTGTTCTCCCAGCGGAAGTTTGTCCCGTTGTTGGCCTCATAGGACATCCTGCTTGAGTCATGGTAGCGAAAAACGCCACCAATATAAAAAATAACATCTTCGAATCTTCTTATTGTTGCTGTTGACAGGAAATTTATTCAAAAAAATTTCAATATCTTGGAAATCATGTTTTATAGAAAAAGATTCAATATTAATTTAGCATAAACAAATATAAATGTCATTGTTTCTTAATCATAATGGAAATTATTTAACATAAACATAACATAAATATGTATGAGTTTGTAAATATGTATTGTTTATGAATGCATTTGTTCCCTAATAATAATTGACAGGAGGCAAAGAAATATTAAAAATAACATCGAATATTGTTGTTGTTGACAAGAAATTAATATATATAAATAATATGTTGTCGCATAGGTATGAGTTTATGTTTGGGAAAATATATGCATATGAGTGTTTTTGTTCGTTAATCATAATGGAAGACTCGAACTGGCAAGAAAAATAGATGAAACGCGTTGGCGAGTGTCATTGTCATAAATGTAATGTACTTCAACTCGAATTATTCGATTATGCGTGCACATCTGGGAACTAGGTCGGGATTTCAAGAGTCAATCTTGTCAGAACGACTTTCGAGATCGGTTACTTCGAACATACGTAGGTTTGGGTTTGTAGAACGCTAGAAGCCGAGATATGGGGATAAAGAGAGAGAGAGAGAGTTTCAGATGGATAGACCGATAGAAAGAGGCAGATAGAATAGGAGAAGAGAGAATGGAGAAAAAGAGAAAGAAGACAGAAGAGATAAAACACGATATCGTAATCCGGAAATAGCAAAACTTTATTCACGATGCTCGCTAATGAGTTTTACGTTTTAATTATTTCAACTAATTTAATAAATTAATGAAGAATTTATAATTAATGAATAAAGATAAATGAAAAATACAACAACAAAAAATTCATTGCGAATCAATTATGTATGTTAAAATGAATTTGTGTATTTTGCGTATTATCAATATTTTTATATTTGTTGTGTGTTAAGTGTATATAAACTGGTATACGTAATCGTTACCATGTTAACGAGAAAAATACTTTCCGCATTGTAAACAAAAAAAACAAAAAAAAAAAAAAAACTACCATTTTCTAGACATTTTCGTCTCTTTTTAGCGACATGCTTTAGTTCGAAGGAAAATATCTAAAGTAGTTAATTATATCCATAAAAAGAAGAACGTGTATAAGCGAAGACTAGCAGCGCGTTATCTCACCCTCGTTTTCTCAACTTTTTTAACGTTTTATTCGTAATCTAGTCTCATTTAATTTTACTTTCTTCTTTGTGGTTTCTTTCTTAATTAGATCGATAGATCTTAAGAAAACAAAAAAACAAAATGAGCAAAATTCTTCGAATTTTCTTTCAAGAGAATTTAGCTATGTTCAACGTAACTCGTAATTTAACATTATCTTTTTTTTTTTTATTATATTTTTAATTTGAAACGAATCGATAACATTTGTCGAGATAAATATTTGTTTATTTATTATTTAAGAAAAATATCTTTAGACTAACTTACGAGAAAGATGATGAAAAAAAAAGAAGAAAGTTTTCTGCTAAAATTTCGTCGTTAGATGTAAACCGTAAAATAATCAAGCTCGAATTAACGGAATCGTTGGAAACTTGGGTTCTTTTATGGTACTCGTCCTTTCACGTGTAAACACTTCTATCGCTTCGGGGTGTACAGCCCCCCCGGGCCAAAATTGAAACGGGTAACGGTCTGAACTAAACGATTACGCAAGTGATTAATGTCTATAACAAATTGTGACGCGGGAATAGACAATTTTCTTATAATAATATTTCATTCTTTCTCCGAGAAAAATGAACATCAATGTAGTTTCGATTTTGATCATTTTTGCTTTTTTTTTTTTTTTTTTTATTATTTTCATTCTCAAGTATAATTTTACAAGTGTAAAATTGAAAATTGTAAAATGTAATTTGTTAAATGAATTTTGATTTGTTTTTAAATAAAAAAACGATTTTAAACGTTCGAACGTTAATCGTTTTACGCCACTGCACGATCGATCATATAAGTAGTTGGAATTTAATTTTTTTTTTTTCTTACAAAAAAAAAAACCATACCCGTACGTACCTTTCAGACTGTACTCTCACGACGAGTTTTAAAACGAGACGAGTTCGTTTAAGCGAAACGAGAGAAGGATGGTTCACGACTAAACGGAATGACTAACTGGATGCAGAAGAGAGCTATCGGAGATCTGGGAAAGTCAGCGCTCGCGGTTCAAAAAATCTCCGTCTCTCGATCATTTTCTCCACTGAAATATCAATAACCAAAATTGTTCATCATTTTTAACATTATCAACTTTTGCAATCATTTTAATACATCCCGTATGTATGTACTAATAATTTTAAATCCAAAAAAAAGCAATTGTACGATTATTAAAAAAAAAATACAATATTTCTGAGAAAATAATCATAATTTTTGTATTCTTTTATCGAAATTAAATTTTCATAATTTGTATTTTATTTAATTAGAGTTTGCAATTAATAATTAGAAAAATTGGTGATCTCATATGTGAATCCGATTAATATTGGATTATAATGAACGTATAAACAAGAAACTACACTGTGACGTGATCTAAAAAATATTATCAACTCGTTAGGGTCAGTTTTAGGTCGTGATATCTTGCTTGAAGCAAAATCACATTCAAGAAGATAATATAAAATTGTAAACTATATATCCATATTCATAAGTATGCTTTAATAAACTAGTCTTTTATAATTATGCTTCGTTGAATATTGTGCAATCGTAACATTGATAAATTGTAATAAATAATTCGTAATTGTTATGTCCATTATTCGATGATTTATCGATTCAATAAAATGATTAAGAATCGAAATATTAATAAAAATTCAGCAAAAAAAAAACAACCAATTTTTGTACTACATTTTACAATAATAAACAAATAAAAAATGAGATAAAATAAAAGTGTAAATAAAGGTGTACATAAAAGTGTATTATATATATTTTTTTTTTTCAAAAATTAGCCACAAAAAAAGAATAAATCGTATCGAGTATAATTTGAATCGTTTCAAATTTCGCGCCAAACGTTCGCGTAACGAGAGAACATCGAGAACGCAGACGCGAGATTATCGACGACCGGCGCGGTTCGAGTGTTGCCTGTAATACTTCGCTCATTAAATTCTCACTCAACGTAGAAGAAGGCTGTCTCGCGAGTTTTTTTCTCTCTCTCTCTCTCTCTCTCTCTACGCGATTCGTAAAACACTCTGCAAATGAAAAATAAGTATTAACTTGAAAAATGTTATCGACGAATCGTGTGAAATAATAAAACTCAAAATCAAATAAAGAAAGCAAGAAAGAAAGAAAAACAAATAAAAAAGGAAGAGAAGACACAAAAAAAAATAAATGAAAAAGAAAACGATGTGAATCGTCAAAATAAAAAAAAAAAAAAACAAGAAAAATATATGAAAATGTTTGCTTTGACAAATTGAAAGATATGTAAGTGAAATGGTGTTTTGAGTACAAGGAAAAGAAAGGAATGATTGTGATTGGTCGAGCGATTGATGTTCGACAAATCCTATCGTTCGCTTTCCCCTAGACAAATATACGTGCAAATATAAAGAGGGAGAGAGATAGAAAGAAACAAAGAAAGAGAGAGAGAGAGAAATCGCAAAGAGTCATCGTTGTTGACAGGTAGTAGGAAAGGAACATCAAAGCAGAGAAGAAGTTTGTGACAAGACAAGAAGAACGATAAAGATAGATAATACGAATACTTTTAGTAAGGATATAAGGATCCAGAAGTAGAAGAAATTACGAAGACGACGAAATACCAGGAAAAAGAGAACATAGAAGGCCATGGCGAGTTTGGCGGGCAGCTCGTCATCCGGCCTTGCAAGACCGCCGACGATGCTGGAACAACTCCTCGAGGAAATCAATTTTCAAAGGACCAAGGAACTCCGGCAAATGCTCAAAGACGGTTAGTATATATATTATCTTTACATTGATTTTAATATTTACATATTTATTTATATAAATGGTTACAAGTATATACATATATATGCATGTGTAATTAGATGTACATGAATATATAATTATATTTATATATTATATATTATATTTATATATTTATATATTTATATATATATAACTGTGTATATATGTATATATGAAGAGGTCTACGAATATTGAAATATATATCTCTATTTAATATGTATATATACGTGTACAGGTACATAAATATATATTTTAATATACATAGGTGATTTAAATAGCCTTCTTCTCAATATAGAAATAATTATTTTTTTCTATCAAATTCATTTTATTTTTGAAGTGAAAATTTCTTTAGAATCAGGATGATTTGAAAATCGTGAAACGAAAAAACGTGAAATCGATGAAACAAAAATAATTAATAAGATTCAACATATAATTTAATTCTATATATTAATTAATTAATTGATAAAATTCTGTTTTTTTTCTTTTTCTTTTTTTAAAGCTCAAAACTTGTCAACCAATCCTCTTATATCATTTATTAATATTTAATTATAGATTATTTATAATTGTTACATATTTTATAGATTAATTTTGTTTAATTATATTATACGTGAATGGTTTGACATGTTTTAAAGCAAGTTTTTAGAAAAAGTTGTCGTCAAGTCGCGTAATCGAATGAAAAATTAAATTGACAAATAAATGAAAAAATTGTTTATTATGATTAAGAATTTTTCAACAGATCCTAGTGTGTGTATATCGCACATTTATACATTCAAAGTACGAACTTCCTCTAATTTTCTTTAATTAACTTTGTCGCCTGATAAATGCTCTTATTCGCTCGTTAGAATCTGTCGCCATTTTTGTTTTCGTTCTCATCGTCATTTTTCTTACGTTCTTGAGTTGTTGATAAAAAAAAAAATCAAATACGTTTTTATTAGATAATAAAAATTTTCAGAAAATGTTAACGATTAATTGCAAATTTCTAGGAAAGAAACAAAACATTTATTTCATTCGGCACAATCGTGAGATTACTTGATTTTAATCTAATCACAATCTCAACGCTATTTCCAAAAAGATCTTTATTATTATTATTATTATTATTATTTTTTATTATTATATAATTATATTACTGTATTACGAATACATGTATAAATACTATCTCTTGTATTTATTAAGTTAAATGCACGCTATCTAATGACTAATTACAATCATAATAATAATCATAAGAATCGCTACTACTTCGCGTGCGTAATTCGTTCGTTGAAGTAAATTACTATTATTTGCTAGATACGTTGTCATCTTTTCATCTGTTTCATCTTTTTATTATAAAAGAAATTTAAAAACAAAATTAACATATTTACTAGAAAAAAAAAAAATATATCCAAATATATTATATCGTCGAATGATAAATGTTGCGCTTAATGTAGAGATACAATTTTTCAAAACAATGTTCATATAGAAAACAAATTAATTATTATTTACAAAATGAAATAATAAAAGAGTATTTTTGTTTTTTCATTTTTCGTTAAAGGTCCAAAACTTTTCAACCCTATCCACGTATATAAATATAAAATTTGACAATTTAATATTACAGAATATATTTAACTTTTTTCTTTTTACATATACATAAAATAGTAGATTATCGATTATATTCTACTTCTGTCTCTCCCTCATAAAATTCATACAAGAGACAGACAACTACTACTATTCTTTACGCGAAAGGGGAGAACAACAAGAGCCCTTTAAAGGCTCACATGGCACGTGTACTTTAACGATGCATAGAGAAATACGCTAATCGCTCTTATCGATCGTTTCTTGAATGCTATCCTCCTATTCTCTTATTCTTTACCTTTGTTAAATCCTTCAACAACAACAAAAGAAAAAAAGAAAAAGAGGATATTAGGAAATATTTGAAAATCCATTTGTAAATTTGCATGAAATAGATCCACTAAATAATAATTCACCCTTTGTTAGATTTTATTCATTTTTTATTGTTTTATTATAGATTCGGGTTTCGTCGTATTACATGGTATGACCTATTGGACCGATCTCTTCGTTCGTCATTTTCTATTCCAAGCAGAACATACGATAGACGGTGACGATTTGCTATTCTTCGTACGTAAGAAACACGTTAAGACATCGTCCAGATATTTACCAAAGTTCGAAACCGCGGTAGATGTTTATCGCAAAGACAGCAAGAAACTGCCGATCGGTGATCCTGATATCGATTGGGAAGAAACCGTGTACCTGAATCTAGTCGTACATCAATTCGATTACACTCTAACTTTAGCGATATGCACAAGAACGAGTCCAAAGGAATTACAAGTAAGAGTTTAAAGATAGAACATATTTATTTAACCCTTTGACGACTGTGTGTGCTACATGAGCGCATATATGCGTTTGATAAAAATTGCCAACCAACGTGGTCTATCGACGTGCATATACGTAATTGTCGATATTAATGTAAAATATTGTAACACGTTGGTTTACTTATTGATTTATTGTTTTAATTCTTGTCACATGTAAATTATCTTAAGAAACAAACAATTGTTTACAATTATTTAATATAATTTATTGTTAAATTTGATATTAATAATATCAAAATTGCATTAATAATAAACTAATCCGTAGTTTACAAAATACATCAGCAATAAGTATTAAATACTCAAAGGGTTAAAAAGAAAAGAAACAAAGTCATATCATGTTAATTTTGATTTTTAATTTATTTAAGGTATTACGAAGACACTCGCAAAAAGTATACGCTAGTCCAAGTCGTCGACGAATGGACGCTAAAGGTGAACTCGAGGAGATGACCTATCCGCACATTTGTTTCATGGTTGACAATTTCGACGAAGTCTTCTGTGATATTCTAGTCAGAGATGGTGAAATGGTATGCGTTGAATTGGTTGCTTCCGATAGGCAAGGCGCCGTTCAGGGTGTTATTTTTTTGGGTTCAATCAGATACGATGCCTTGAAAAAAGTTTACGACGCTAGGGTAATCAATGATTATTATAACATATATATATATATATTATAATTATTAACGCGTAATATATTTATTAAATCAAATTTATAAATGCAATTTTATAATATATTTATATATATATGTATGATCAATTTCAGTCAAGTCTCAGCACAAAAATGGCGCAGCGTATGACTTTTGGTCTTTTCTCAGGCGCAACGTCCCAACGAATAGAATTTGTTCGCATGAAGGGACCACGTGGTATGTAACTTAACGAATAGAGTATTGTCTGTTAATAATAAATGTCATTTGCATATTGTTATTAACGTGTCAAGTGCCGTAAAGATTACCGATAACTGACACTTGATTTTAAGATCAACAATTAAAACGTTTTGAAAATAATTGTTTATTCATTATTAATAAGCATGTTGTTGTTTTCGATTGCAACAGGAATAATAAAACATCTACGATGTATTGTGTTGAAATAAATTTCTTTCTTCCGTTTATAAGATAGAAAAAACATTTATCAAAGTAACAAAAGGCAAGTTTTATAAAACTTAATTTTTTTTTCTTTTCGATATTGTTTAATAATAATAATAATAATAATTAAATAATTGAAATTAATCAATGAAAAAAACAAAAAAGAATTAGAAAAGATAAAACGTGTGACAAAAATAGAACGATTCGTAGGAAAGGGACACGCCGAGATGGCAGTGACAAAACCTAAAGGATCAGGAGCTGAGACACCAACTTCCGAGCCAGGATATTGCGCGACCGATGCTTTATGGGACGCGGATTGGGATGACGCTGAAGAAATCTTCATGTATCGTCATYAACGTAGACTATCCGATCCGAGTGCAAATCTAAACAATTTTGTTCGTGGTGGTTGGAGAACTAAACCTGACACYGCTGCTACCAAAGCTAGATCGGAGAACGAAGGATTGGATTCTATGGCAAATGGCCTAAGCGAGATCGAGGCTGGCGACGTTCGAGACGGTAATTAATTATACTAATTGTCCTATTTTTATTTTTTTTTTTTTATTTTTTTTTATTTTTCTTTCTTTTTCTTTCCTCCTCTTTCACTGTCTATCTTTGCATATCTATTATTTTCGCGTTTGAGTTTATTCTAATAGAATCATCACGATGATATCCTTTTTATTAACCTCTTCAAGGACACTGATTCATATGTGTACATTTTGTTCTTCTTTTTTTTTTTAATGAAAATTATTCTAAAACATTGTGTATTTGTAATGTTTTATCTGCTTCACCGAGTTGTTGTCGATATATAAAGAWGAATGAAAAATAATCAAATTGACGAGTCAAATCACATTTTTTGGTTTTACTTAATAAACAATTCTAAAAACCGTGAAGAGGTTAATTCGCATGCATGAGTTATCTTTATTCTTTTATTGAAACGAGATTAGATCACTATTAGAAAATAGATTGTGATCCTAATAGAATTTTTACCGAATGACGCATGAATTCTTTTATATTACCCCTTGCCAGAGTCCTGATAGAATCTCTGTCTCTACTATATATATATATATAGCAGAATAATAGATTTATATTTATCGWGAATAATATAAATCGATTTATCGTAAAGGTTCAGAGATTCTTCGTAGAACCTTTAGATTGCTTTCTATCCACCTCTGTTTGTCCCAACCGGCCTGATTCCCAAGCATTTTTTTAACGCTCGTATCGAGTCGTTATCAATCGAATTCCATCAATATTGGAATTCTCTATGACGATAAATACGATAAGTAGTAGAAATATTAATTAAAAATAATAATAATAATAATAATTAAAAAAAAAAAAGGAACTGATTAAAAGAAAAGAAAACCAAGAGAGAAAGGATGATCAAGGATTATGGAAGAGAAAGGTTATACCACCACCAACACCATCTCGCTCATGAACGAGGGATGTGTATAAATGAAAATAAGAAAAAAAATATTAAAACAAAAAAAAAATAAATAATAAATAAATAATAACAAAAAAAAAAAAAAAAAAAAAAAAATAAGAAAAAAAAATATGCGTGTTGTGTAGTGTATGCGGTTTGAGAGTGGGTGGTTGGGGGAGATTAGTGTGCGACGAGTGGGTGTTATGTAATAATTGGCACAAATCGTCCATGTATGCCGTGTGACTGTTTGCTTTGTAGCCGATGGTGAGGAATGCGTCTGGGGTGGGTGCGGGAGCTCGCCAGGAGTTCGCCGAACTTCTCGATCCCGTAGTCACCGGCGTAGATCACCGTTGCGGATTCCGGCACGTCAGCAAAGGCAGCAACAGCGTGCTGCGCAAAAGCAACGAAACTCGCGCGAACGTAAGACTTCCGATAAGGAGAAGAATTCGTCTCCTAATCGCAAAGAAATCAACAACTATCGCGAACAACACGGTGAGCGGGCGTTCTCGTTCGGTTAAATAATTCGCGTTTGAAAAAATTCGATTTTAGTGTGTCTCGTCCGTTCGGTTTTGTATATTATATCATTAGACATTTTTATCTTTCTTCGTTCATTATTTTCATTTCTTTCGCTTAATTTATTCGAAAGATATGTGACCATTGGAGATGAAAATAAAACAGAAAAAGAAGAAAAAAAACGGACGAGACGTGTTCGATCAGTCGTACGATAATTCTTTTTTTCTATCTATCTATCTATCTTTTTTTTCTTGGACATTATTTTATTTGATTATCTTTCTATCTCTTTGTCTCTTCTTTCTCTTCCTCTATCTCTTTCTCTCTCTCTCTCTCTCTCTCTATCTCTATCTTTCTATCCGTGTGAATAACACCGCGCTATAATATCGCGATAGGCCTGCAGAACCATCAACATCATCACCATCATCAGAGTCATCAGCTGAATCATCATCACATCGAAGTAGGTAGCGAGATCCTCGTGCCTAGTGGGGATCGATTGACCGACGACAACGTCCGACAGAAGTTAGATTCTGGGGCGATATTGGTACACGGAAAAGAAGAATTACCCTTAACATATAATAAAGATGATAACAATAAGAAAAGACGACCATATAGTACCGGTCAACTTGGACACGATAAATTCAACGGATTGGACACCGAGGAGGAACGTCATAGGTTAAGCGATGATGAACTTTTACGGGTTCGACGAGTTCAAGGTCGTCGGAGGTTAAGATCAGCTGGATCAGATCACGAGGATTATTCGGCAAGGAATAGGAACAACGAATTCAATTCTTCCAATTCTACCACCAATGACGAGGACAACCGACGTGGATCGAGGCAACGTTGTCAACGACACGTGGATTACCAGGAGGAGGACGAGGACGACAACAACGACGACGACGATACTGGAAAAGACAAAAATGCTAACGCACGCGGAGTCAACCCGCACAACAAGCAGAGTGCTACTCTACCTAGAAGACGAAGAAGACGTGCCCTTTCCGGAAGTTTTGCTGGCAATCCTCTACCCCCACACCGCGTCACACCCGACGGCACGGCCATCTACTACTGGTGCGAGCTCCCACGCCGCCCCGGCTCACAGGGTAAATTCTTCTTCCACCCCTAACCTAACCCCCAATTGTTCTTCTTTTTTTTATTCTTTTTTCTTCTTTTTACCCTTATTTCCAATACCATTTTATTCCGATCACAGTCACCTAAGGGAACACCTACATGATTCTATCTTTATCTATTTCGATCGATCATACTCTTCTTCTTCTACTTCTTCTTCTTCTTCTTCTTCTTCTTATTATTATTATTATTAGTATTATTATTATTATTATTATTATTATTATTTTTCTTATTCTTATTCTTTTTTCGTTTTAAAGTCAAACCTTTGATTGTGAGTAACTTCGTTTTTACGAGCAATATATTTTGATTTGATAAAACAATCGATGTCTTGCAATACGAACAAACGACAAGCGTATTCGTACTAATAAATAAAGTACGGATTAACTTGTTTCATTTTCAATTATGTTTTAGTATATTATGCAACTAGTGGCGAGAAGTTGTCGATTGCTCACAACTTGACAACTTCGTACTAGTTGCATATACTATTTTTTATTACGAATGCGGGGACATATTTGGTACACAATTGGGGTCCAGGG